GCCAGCTCTGCCCCCAGGGCATGCTGAGATGGCAATTAAGACTGGGCATGATGGCACGGGCCTGTAATCCCAGCTCTTGGGAGGCTATAAGCAGGGAGCTGGCCACACACACACACACACACACACACACACACACACACACATAAAATACAAAAAAAAAAAAAAAAAAAAAAAAGAAGTATTTGCAGAAGTACTAGCAGATAATTTTCCAAACTTGAAAAAAGATTCTAGCAAATAATAAACGAGGCATATAGAACTCCAAATGGTCATAATTAAAATAAATCTATACCTAAACACATAATAATCAAGATTTCAGAAATTGAAAGAACAGAACACTAAAAGCTGCTAGAGAGAAGAAATGTATTACCTGGATGGAAAGCCCATCAGAATCACAGCACATTTCTCAACACAAAGCATCAAATCAAGAAGAGCTTAGAGTGAAGTATTTCGGGTTCTAGAAGAAAAATCTTCCAATCCAGATTGATGTACCCTGGAAAAGTTTCTATCAAATTCAATAGCAAGATAAGATCCTTCCATGAGAAAAAACAACTGAAGAAATTGTGACAACCATATCAACCCTACAAATACTGACAGATATTCTAGAAAGAGACAGAAACAACCACAGCTTCAAGAACAACAAAAAGGAACCACCAAAAAGAGCAAGTAATTACAAAAAGAGAAAAAATACAGAACCTATAGCAAGAAAATAACATGACAAAGATAAGGCGATACATATCAGTTGTAACCCTCAATGTAAACAACCTCAATTCACCACACAAAGAAACAGACTAGCAGCATGGATTAAGAAACAAAATTCAGGAGCCAGAGAGATGGCTCAGTAGAATAAGTGCTTGCCTGGCAAGTGCAAGGGCCTGAGTTCAATCCCTGGTTAAGAAAAAAGAAACAAAATTCAACAATATTCTACATAAAAGAAACACATTAAGCTCAAAAGGAAATGCACAGACTAAAAGTCAAAGGATGGAAAACAATCCTCCATGCCACAGGAAACCAGAAAAAAGCATGGATAGCTAATCTGTTTGTTGACAATATCAACTTCAAACCAAAAATCATTCAGAGATAGACAATCACGACATTCTTGTTAAGGGAAAATTGCAAGAGGAAGAGATAACAATCATAAATATATATGCACCTAATGCAGGAGCACTCAACTACATAAATTTTAACAGACACGAAA